ATACCCCTAACCGTTGGACTCATTAATCTTTGTGTAGTCCTAGCTAACTGATGCTTAAAATAAAATTTCCTTCTGCTATCTTCTCCCCCTGAGCACAAAAAAGTACTCTTTGTAACTTAAAGGGCAAAATATTATTTTTAGCCTTAAACATAATTAATAGTGTCTGTAATTTCACTAAATCTAATTTTAATAATTTCGATTTTATAAATAATTTATTTGTATGTTCTCTATATTTAACATTATGAATCATTTGTATCACTTTCTTCTGTAATAAGTTTAGAGGTTTTATAGTATTCTCATATGTATTCCCCCAGACTTCAATACAGTAACTAAAATATGAGAAAAACAATGAAAAATATAAAATGCGCATTGTTTTATAGTCTAATAAATCTCTTACATTTCCCAAAATATAAATGTTTTTAACCATCTTCTTTCTAATACAACACAACACAATGTCTAACACAAGGAAAATTTACAAAAAAAAAAAGGGAAATGCCCCCACACTCCCTGCTCTCAAGGAAGATGAACCAAAAACTGCCACAGTTTTTCCAGTCAGTTTATCAAGTCCCAAAAGGTAGCGGGCGTCAGGGTGAGCATGGCCAAAACAACAAATAAAACTCTCTAGAAATGAAAAGCAACTGGCTTACCCAAAAATACTGGTTTCTTAACTGCCTCCCTAACCAAAAAACAGGAGAAAAGGTTCCAGAAGAAAATGGCTTCTCACCCCTACATTAAAAATATTTACAACTATTTTCAACACAGCAAAAGCTTCCAGAAGACAGATTCACGTGTAGCCACATGCACAGTTTGTTGGGAACAGGAATTTGTAATCATTGTAGTGTCTGTATACGTTTGAAGTAATTCAAACAGTGTGGGTCTGGTAGGTGCTAATGCTAACATTTTTTTGTGTGAAGACCCAGTATTGTCATTTGACCATGATTATTGATTTATGTTCAATCTAAAAGATAAAAGCAACACCTGACTAATATTTCAGAAATCTCCCTTTTTTATATTGTACAGATAAAAATATTGTTAATGGGATTCTTGTTTGTTCAAAAAAGTATGCTTATGACGGATATTTTTTTGGCATTAGCAGTTGTTGAGGTGATACAATTTTCACTTAGTTCCAGTGCATTTTCATGTGCCCTACACTGAAGGGCAAAATATTAAATTTTCTTCAGTAATGGTCAGTCAGGCTACATGTGATCTTTAACTAACCTTTTTTGTTGACAGGTTATCATTACTTAGGATACAGTGTGCAATACAAGGGGAATTCAGAAATAGTTACTGGGACTGAATTATTATGTAATAGTTTGTTCATAATTATCTCTTTCATCTTAAATGTAATCCCAACACTGAGAAATACAAAAAAGTAACTATTGAGGTTATTTTTAAAGTTGTTACAAAAGATCCAACTACTATCAAGTGGTATCCAATTCATTCTTCTTCTTTACTAACTGCACATTTTTATGCACATTGCTAGCTAATGCTCCTTTATCCAATGACTTCACAAGGATAGGTTTGGGGAACTGTTTCTTCAAACGTCCTAAACTTTGCTCTGCACTTACGATATATTTAAAATGGTTTTTTTTTTTTGTTTTTTTTTAATTTTTATTCACTTTATATGGCAGAACCGTAGGGGTGACACAGGATTTTCTTGCTAGAAAAACACATTTTAAGGATGTATATTGACCCTTTGCTGTCTACCATTTTCATTTTTGAAACTGACAGACCTTTTAGAGGTGGTCACTTTGGTTTACAGTGTATGTTTACAATTTTGATATTATAAAGTCCAGTGGTAGAAAATGTTTCACAGTCTTTTCTGGTTCAACAAAATAATTAGCATTTTTTTTTAAAGCTTTAGCTCTTAGCAATGTAATGTGTGTTCTTTATTAATCACCAGAGCATGTTGCATAAAAAGAGATGATGTGTGCCAAAGTCAGGGTTTAAAAGCCAGACAGTGTTTTTTGTTTTAGTTTTTTGTTTTTTTACACAACAACAGAACGACTGCAGGTGTCTGTAAATTGCGGTATTTGAGAAGAGGAGCAAGCATTCAGAAGAGGAGAAAGCATAAAGGGGGTGACTTTTTAAACGTGTCAGGTAATTTAAAATGCAAAGTTTTTATCAACTCAACAAACATCAGCAAACACACAAACTTGTGTGCAGCGTGCAGTTTGTCACACAGTATGTTGCTAGCGCAAGCTCCAGCTGCTGTATTTCACAGGGAAAGAAAAGAAAGAGAGCTAACTTCACTCAGAGATGGAGAAATATAAGAAAGACAGGAGAAGAGAAGAAGAAGAGAGGAAGAACTGCTCAGTGAGATTTGATAAACTGGAAATCCTCATGTTTTTAAGTTAGATATTGGGTCTGTACATGTGACATAATATTTTTTCATGTTGTGAAACATGCTGCAAAACAAACTGAGGCAGACTAATTGTGCTATTTAAAGGCTGCATGAAAATCCTCTGCAGGTTAATGCAAGATAGCAAACCGGTTAGTTTGCTGTACTGTGATGGATTTAAAGTAAAAAAAAACAGTGTGTGACTGGAGTGGCTGTGGTTTCTTGGTCAGAGTTAGGTAACCTTCACTTGATGTAACATCAAGTGAAGCAGGGATTCATATGAAATTTAGCGGATGATGCTGAGATTTATTTACTCAATTCCACCTTCATACCAACTTTATACTGTCTAATATAAAGACAGTGTACTGTAAGTATAGAGGATGAAAATCAGGCAGGACAACTCATGAAACATCTTTTGACATCTGGTTGAATACAGTTGTGTATGTCCACAAAGAGCAGCAGCTCAGCTGATCACATCATGCACACTAAGAAAATCTGCCGGAACTCTCAATAAAAATTATTGTGAGTTATGATTCTTTTCCCCACAATGAGCCATTACAACCAACTTCAGGGTTCCCACACGGTGAATCCACTTCACCCTTGACTGGGTTTAGAGGCAAAGTCACCCTCTACAATGTAGGTAACCAAAATAGATATGTATTTTTTAAATTTTCCTATATATTTCCTTACTCCCAGATTCAAGCAGAGTGTAAGCAGAATGAAAAAAAAGGTAAACTGAAGTTTGTATTTGTCATCCAGGGAAGGACAGATTTTGTTTTGAAGTTGTTTTGCTTTGCATGTTTGTTGTCTTTTGCTGTGTTTCATTGTGAAGTGTTTTATTTGTTTTTTGTATTGCATGTTTTGGTTATATCTGTTAATTTGTTCCGGAGAGACTCCGCCCTTCCCCGTTTACTAATGTGACACACCTGAGAGGTGACAGCCGGCGGTGATTTGAAGAGAGTGCTCGGAGACGCAGGAACGCGGGGTTGGTGTAGCAGTACGTGGTGAGGGCATACGACGGCCAGTGTGCGAAGAGACAGAGGGCGCTGTGCTGCTGCTGAAATAGCTTGAGGCCAGAGGACGCTACGGTGGGGGATTAGTTGGCAGCGGGACCGGGGACGCCGCCGGGCTTTCCTTGCCCGTTTCAATTTTCCTGGGCTTTAACGCCGTGGCTGACGCAACTGGACTTTTAGTATTTTATTGTGTGTGTTCTCCCTGGCCAGGGTTGTTTTAATTACTTTTAAACTTTTAAACAGTTTTGTATAATAAATTATATTATACAGATTCATATCGTTCTATTCCCTTGGCTGCTCCACTGATCCGTTTTTTTGGAGGGTTTCCCTCCTCAGAGTAACACCTGGTCAATCCACTTTACATATTCCCATCTAGTGATATTATTTTATCATTATGTTAATTTACCACAAGGTTCAGTTAGCTTTGCACAAAAATGGAAACCTCCAAAGAGCTACTTTTCACCGTGAGTACATTTTTACTTGAGTAAAGAGGTTGAATCAGTACTAGAGTATTTTTTAACAGTATTTGTACTTCAACTTAAGTACAGAATGTTTGTACTTTTGTCAACTCTGTTTATACATACACAAACCTCGTTAACTTTAATATCCGAATTCACCATTGTGACAGGATGTATTACAGAAAATAAGAAACAGCATAACAAGCCCACTTTAATACTATCCACTAGGTGGAGTGGATAGTATTAAAGACAAGCCACCATGTTTGTTGCGCAAGAAGTTTATTGAAGAAAGTAGCTGAAGCGTCAGGTTCATTGATGAAGAAATCCACACAGATATAAATCCTCGATGTTCATCAGGTGAGTTTTAGTTACCTTTGAGGGACAGGATGACGCATCAACTTGTGCAGAGGTTTAAAAATGGAAGGGCATTCCTGCATTATTGTGAACAAACCACAGGACCACACAAACTTTGTCAAAGTTATTATTGTAGAATACTTTGTATTTTTTTTCTTTCATACAGACAAAAGGTGTTGGACTTAATTCCCATTAAATTCTCTTAGATTTCCATACAGACTTGGTCTACAGTATACAGGTGTGTTCTTTCTCATATATAGATATTTATTCGCTTAAATAACAGGCAGATAACTCTTTAATATATTCAATAGTCTTCATGGTTTGTTTTTTTTTCTTTCTTTTTTTTGGTCTTTTTTTTTTTTATTTCAGCACAGTTAAGGCTGCATTTTCTGTCTGCAGAACAGGACTGTTTTGTGCAAGAAGGGGGACCATTCCACACATAATATTTACAATAGTATGTATAATGAATAATGTAAAAGCCTTCATTTGTTCCTGTGGTAACATGGCAGTAAATACTGGTGGCAGATCTAAAAGAGCAGCCTAAACAGCACATGGAAGCACTGCACTTCTGCAGTCTCTAGCTCTGCATCGCCTTCTGATTCTTCATCTTCTGGGTCCCCACTTTGTCCAGTCTTTCAGACTATAATGAGGTACATTTGTATCTCCTGTTCTCTATTTATAGAGTGGTGTCTCTGGTCTTAAGAGACTGTAAGCATCTCTGCACCTCTGCACACTTCAGGGGCTGTTCACTGGACAGAAAACACAGCCCTCAGAATATGCTCAGGAGAATGTGCAACTGTCTTTCCATCAGTGGGAGCACCGGTGGAGAAAATCAAGAATAATAATCATAATAATAACAATATAATACAAGCGCTTCCATTTTGTTGTTCCTCTCTTTACAAAAAGCAATTCAAATAAAAGAAAGAAACATTTTAAAAAAAAAAGTGTAACAGGAACATAGTACCTGTAAATCAAAGATCCACATGTGCACATTTGGGCGATCTGTACAGTGGTGCAGTTGTACAATTTAGAATTTTGATAAATAATTCTGATAAATATATTCTTCTTCACATTGTTTTGTCTTTTGTGAATCTGGCTCACAACATGATGTAACATGGCTGGACAGATGGACAGAGATGGCTGGACAATCAAATTTACACCACTTGAGATTATCGCCCTGTAGTCTGGTGTGTGTGTGTGTGTGCGTGTTTTCATACATATAGAAAAAAGCACTGATGTAGCTGTGCTGAAATAGAGGAGACTTGAGCAGGATGTGCGCATGCATGCGTGTGTGTCTGTGAGAGACAGAAAGAGAGTGAGCGAGAGGAAGAGAGCAGATGTGGAGAGATCAGTAGCCTAAATGACTTACCAACACATAAAGAATGACATTAATGATACCAAATGCATGCTTCAAAACAGACAGACCAATACAGTGTCACCACCTGCCCCACCCAGCTCGGGTCAGTTTAAGGTGGTGACGATGATGATGAGCATTCAAGAAGACAAGAGTTCTGTACAGGTAAGGGTGTTCCCAGAAAGCCCTGCGCACTTACTGAAACAGAACAAGCAGGACAGATGCGTTCTCTCGCTGTGGTTTTAATCCTATGGTTGGGTGCGTTTGTCGACATGGCAGTCTTTTGCATATCGTCTGCCCTTGCCTTAGTCTGGCGGTGGGACAGGTCAGCTGCAGGGGAGGTGGAGGGGCAGAGAAAGGGGAGGTAGCAGGAGTTTGCATTGCTTTGAGGTGTCACACTCTGAGGCAACATGAAGTCAGCGGTCCACCCACACCTAGTACAATATGGGATACAGGAGGGCGCGCTCACAGCTGCTCTGGAATGTGATGTTTGGAATGTATGTTCCATGGAATGTCAAGGTGGAGGTGATGTCACTGGTGTCGTCACTATGGTGGATATCTGATTTTTCTTTTTCTCTTCTTTTGTTGTTTTCGGTGGGCTGTGTGCTCATGCAGTGTGTTATGGCCTTTTAGGTTGGCAGCTTAGACATAATGTCTGGCAAAGTGGCTGACTGGGTTTCTTGTAGTGAGTGAGATAAAGGCATGGGTTCAGCAGGAAGTTAGCTTAGTTTAGCTTAGCTTGACATAAAGACTAGAAACAGTTCAGTTCTTCTAGCAGCACGTATAAAGCTCACAGGTTAGATGTGGTTTAATACAGAAGTGTACTTAGCCTGACCCATAAATCACTCTGCATACAAACCTTCCTAAAACCATGACTTATCCTTCTATTTCTAACCATTTCTTTTAGGGATTCTCAAAGTTTAGATGATTGGTTTCCAGCTTAGCAAGCCTACATTTACTTCACTGTTTGCAATGTCTAACCAGATGTTTTTTTATATGGGTAATTGTGGTTAATTGTTTGTTTGTTTTTTAAACACTAGTGAGCTGTACTATTCTTTTACACTGAAATTGAGTTGAGTCATATCTCCTTCTGCACTGCATCACACCATGGTATGACATATTGAAGAGCGAACAGATGTACAGTAATGTAGTTGCTGGCTATGTTTTTAAGGGCTATGACCTGGAAAGGACTTGGTTGATACTTGTGTTTGTTACCAGAGGCTTTGGCCTTATTTCCTGGATGTGTGTTGAAAAGTGAATGAAATGCAGTAAGTTTAAATTCCATGCCCTTTCACCTTTTATATGATGAGGCACCACAACAGCAAACCTTAAGAAAGCTCTGTTGTAAAAACTGTAATAGATCTAGATTAGTGTCACAAAGAAAACTTACTACCTGTTTCATGAGCCTGCTGTCCAGAGTCTGGCTGGGGATATTTTAAGCCCTGAAATCTTTATTGCATCCAGTTTTAATTTTAAAATAATTTCATAAATGAGACTTGGACCTGCATAAACAGCATAAAGTGGAAATAAATGGAAATAATGTGTCAACAACTATGAGACCATTATGGGACTGTGAGGTTTGTGGTGTAGCAGCAGCAGTTCCTCTTGTTTGCTGTCTAAAACATCCTCCTGCAGCACAGTCCACTGTCACCACAATGCTGCTCTTTCTTGTAGCAGTTTGATGTCTCTTGACAGCCAAGAGAGAAGAGATTTTGACCTGCACGTGTCCTGTGTTTTTCAAAGGTTACAGAACCATCAATGTATAGGCTTAACCCCTGTATCAAACACTATCAGCCTTCACTCACTACTATTGTTATATCTGCATTTAGGATGGCATTTACAGATTCTTATCTGTGTGTCATATGTTTTCATAGATATTGTGATGAATAGCTGTCAGACTTTAACTAAGATTTTGCTTGTTTCCCTGGAACAAAACAAAAGCAATAAAATTGCATAACTCAAAAATTTAAAAAGGAGATGTCATGTGGTAATTGGAGTGCTTTACAGGTGTTTCTGAATAAGTTAGGCTAGCTCTTTATGCTAAATGGAGCTAACTAGCTAAAACACATAGCCTTATATCCTTAAAGGTATCCCAATCGATGACCTGTACATAGTAATGGAGGGGAATGCGCAAGGACATAATAACGTTTACAATACGCTCTTCTTGGTTGTACCTGATATGTAAAAGTGAACACTGACATTAGACACGGGCATGTGGTTGAGACAATGAGCAGGTTAAAATGGCACAATCCTTTTGTCTGCGCAGAGGGCGCTGGTTACGTAACAGAGACGACCTGATCATGTGAGCAGGAGGGGCTTCCAACCGAGTGCACGTTAAGTCTTAAAGGGCCTTCGCCTGTGCATTGCGTGTTTGATGGCATTTAAAGGGTTAATGCTTCCCAAGCATTCAGCTTTTTTATCAAAAAGAAAAAAGCTGACACACACGCACCGACAAACTCGTGGACGTAATGCGACAAAATGAGCAAAGGAGGAACAGCAAGAGAGAAGACGATGGGACACGGAACAGAAATGAAGGGACTGGAAGAGGATGTCAGCCATGGAGGTTGCCCAAGGTGACAGGTGCAGATATTCCCCATGCATACTGGGGATATGGCAGGAGGCTTGAAATTAAGTTTACACAGTACGTAGACATGTATATATCCAAATTAACATGACATCTCATACACTGTTCATCTCAGAGCAATATTCTAGATAACAGGTCATGTGAACAAATGGGGCAGCATTCAAACACAAAGTGAGGTAATGAATGAGTTCTGTGTTGTTGCTTCCCAAACATTTATATCTATGTATCTATAGACAGATACATAGATAGAAATGCCCTGATCTTTTAGACATTGTCGCAGCCATTGTATTTAAATGAACAGCAGCCTGTTTTTGTTATGCTTTTGTTTGTTTTTTTTAGAAGAGACAAGACAATACACGTACACACAATGAACGAGAAAGAGGGATGAAAGAAAAATAACTCAAAGTTTCTGAGAAGAAATAAAATGATATATAAGAACGAAATAAATGAGCACCATTATGTTGGGAAATAAATGAATGGGAAATGGAAATGACTGTTAAAGCTTTAACAAAGCGTTTTACTTATATTACAAGCAAAGTAGTGACTTTGAAGCGGCTGCAGAATCTACCCAGATAAATGGTGGCAGATAAATGGTGGTGGAAAGTGGGTGACAACAACATTAATGATGAACACCAATAGAAATGGAGTGAGTCAGCCCCCATAGCCGCATGGCCTTGTTCTGCTGAAGCATTAAGGGATGTGTGGTTTTCTTCTGGATGTCTGCCCCCCACCCCCACCCCCACCCCACCCCACCCCCCACTCAGACCCTGCCAAAGCAGACCTGCAGGTGTGTGTGACAAGAGCGTGCATGAAGTCGGTGTGCAGCTGGGCAGGGTGAGTAGGGTTCCACAAGAGGGGGGTGACAGACTGAGTTGGATGGTTTTGTGGGTAAAGGAGGGGAGGGACTGGGGTGAAGGTGGGGAGTCAGACTGAGAGGGCTGGAGTAAGGGCAAAGGGAGGGAAAGTGGCAACATGTTCTCAGGGAGTTGTAAGCAGAAGTCTCCGGCCATTGTCCACTCCCTCCTTGTCCTTTGCTCCCTCTTGCGAGCTTGTTGAAAGGGCGATTAGATGAAAATGTCATGTGTGTGTCCTCAGCCCTCTCTTGTTCTCACCCTAACTTCATCCCCCCTTTTTCCATCCCCCTCCCAAACCCAAGTTCAGCTCAGTTATAAGGAGGTCTCCACACAGTAGAGATGGGCCGGGTAGGGGGTTGAGGGTTTCACCGGCCTGTCCCTACCATGATGATTATGGTGGAGGTGGTGGTGGTGATGACGGGGGCTTCGGTTATAGGTGATGACTGCGTTGGTGCTGTTTCGGTTGCTGTAGGCGACCATTGAATCAATGCTGCTGCTGCTGCTGCTGCTGCTGTTGTTGTTGTTGTTTCGGTTGCATGGGGTCACTGGGAGGCTGTACTGGCGGTAGGGACGAGTGGGATGGGTGCGAGGCGGGGGTTGGGGCTGGGTGGGAGGCGGGGGCGGCTTGCGGAGGGCCGGGTGCAGGTGCTGGTATCTGCTGAGTTCTGATTCGTCATCCACATCGGTGTCGTCGATCAGCGGGATGTTGTGGATGAGGTCATTGATGAGGAACTCTGGGTGGACCATGAAGTTGTGGATGGAGTTGCGGGATTCCGGTTTCTCCCGGCCCTCGTACAGTGAACTACGGAATGCTTTCACCACTCGCATCTGCCCAGAAGAAAAGAGATCAGGGAGAGACCACAAAAAAGACAGAGGAGAAAGTCAGAGAAAAAGAAGAGAAAAAGGAGACATGGGACCCCAAAGACAGACCCACTTGTGTCCTCCAGCAGACAAACAGAGTGAGAGACAAGCAGACACTCAGGGCCAGGTGGCTGCAGTTAAAATAAAGGCAATGTAACTTCTAATGGTCAGTTAAATTTTTGACCAAGAGCTGCTGTGGAAGCTGAAATTAATAGGACTCGCTCAGGACAAAGGCACATCAATCTTCCACTTTTTAAACAGAATACAAGTAAAATAATATTTTGAAATGATAAAATATGCTTCATTTTATTTTATTTCATTCTAATCGACACATCAATATTATTTTCAAGGATAAGAAACCCTTAATTGTATGGTAAGTTATTCTCTTAACTTTGGATATGGTTAGGCTAGCGCTATATCTCTTGCTTTTTTTTTTTTGTTTTTTTGTTACTTAAGTTAAGCTAAACCTAAACATCAAACTCTTAGTATGAAGAAAGATTTTGAAAAAGATTTTTAAAAGGCTCAAATACACAAATCTGAACTGATACCCTTCTTGTGTCAGTCTGCTAAATATAAATTTACAGCATTTAATAAATGATGAATAAGTGATATTATATTTTAGGCTTTAAGGTGCTAAATAGTATGTGTCATCTGAACAACTTGACAAATTAGTTCAAATCCCTACTTAGCTCTTTTCGCTCTGCCCCACAGATGCCTTTTTGAATCATGCATCTTTAATTGCCCAGAGTGATCAAACCCAACTTCTTCATGCCCTAAGCCCCTTGATGTCATAGATTTTAACACTGTATTCTTAAAAGCAGCATAAATACTGTAAGACCTATGTTTTTAATATTTATATTATGGAACGGATTCAGGTAAGAAGCAAGTTAAGAAAATGCTATAAAGATGATGTGAGAGCACAAATTGATATAATCATTTGACTGGTATGGAAGAAGGTTGACAAATAGCCATGGAAAGGAAAACATGGATTAAATAAATATATTTATAACTTTGTTTAGATAGATGTTGTTTTAGGTAGTTTATTTCTACACCTGGATCTGCATGATGTCATTGAAAGTGGACATCCCTAACATAGACAAAGCAAAGAAGTCTCTTGCTTAGACCCGTTGTTTATGAAGGGAGGCCAATCAAAAGAAAGTTGGCTTAAATTGAGGGTAGTGTTAAAGGACGAGTTTCTTTCAGACAGGACCTCTATGACCTTAGAGGTTGTTATAAGACAGCAGAATAGGTCATCTTGAAAATAAATTGGTGCATTTCATTTAATTGAGATATATCACCATATCATGTAATAACCACCTAAGTCCTTTGTGTTGCCTGCATGTATGATCCGTTCTGCATAGAAACACATTTTTCAGAAGCTACACCACATTGTTAAATAAGCAGAATAGATCTTGTTCAAAGTTTTTAACTATATCACCATCCAAACCATGGCACTGCACTATTTTAATAGCAATCTATCTGACAATTGTCCATTTGAAGATTAATTATACTGGGGTAACATCATATCTGGATTAATTTAGCGTCAGCTAGACATCCACCTGATCCTGTGTGTCTCCAACACACAAAAGTGAAAAATAAATAGTTTTAAAATGAGTTGGCTGATGACATGTTTCTGTCAGTTCTCACACATCAGTCACACCTTACAAGACAAAAACCACCATCACAAAAAACACAAAAGCTGCAGAAACTTTACATCACACACACTTGGCATATGTGTCTATATGACTGTGTTTGTGTGTGTGCATCTGTTGGGCTGGTGATACATTATGCATGGGAAAAACACTCATACCTCAGCACACAGGATCACAGGCATGCACACACAGATGAAGGTGTTTGTTAGGCACAAATGGAGAAAGAAGCAGGAATGGTGAGTGTGTTAATTCAATATACAATAAAAGAAGAATTTTGCAAGAACCTATAGCAGTGACCAAACACACATATACACATAAATAATACACGCATGCAGCAGAGTGGACCAGAGTTATCTCCACATCGTGCAGTTTGGAGTCTGAATTCCGCATGCATCGGGCAGCTGTCAGTCATGGGGGCTGTTTGTTAAAGAGAGCTGCTTTATAAACACAGCCAAACTGTGAGTCATTCAGTCAGCACCCCGAGACGTGTGCTCATGCACATGTGCAAAGTGTTCTGTGTGCCATGCAGCAGTGACAGACAGGAGAGCAGAGTGACAAGAATGATGACGATGAAGTTGCTGCGGGATATAAAATAACAAATCTTGCAAAACAGAAAAGTGACATCATGAAGAATCAGCAGGTTAGAACACTATGTGATTAGCTAGATTACTAGTAACAAAAGAGTGAAGCTTGGGTGTCAGCCCTGCCACACAGAGAGAGACAGTCAGGTCATGCTGAATCAGATCTTTGTCACTTACACTCTCTTTCTGTCTCTCCCTCTCTCTCACACACATGCTCGCACACAAACACATGCACAAGTGAGTTTTACGAGTGCACTTCAAGGTGGTGTATGCGTGCATAAACACATTCCTTTGCCATAGCAGTTGGTCCATGCACCCCTCTCCAACGCCCAAACAGAGGAAAAGAAGCAGCATGAGCTCAAAAGAAAGAGAGACAGTTTAATGCAAATATACTGACAGGCAGAGGCAGACAGAGCCTTATACAGAGACAGTTTGGCCGAATGAGATCGGCAAAGAAAAAACTTCATGTTCACTGCAACACCTACTGGAGTCCCAACTGTGATTATGAGAGGCGGATGGTCAAGCAGCTGAATGGAGTTCAATGCTGCAGTTGGCCAAACTAGGAGAAGTCTCTATATATGACTCTGGCTCATATGATAGACTGAGAGACATACAGATGTACAGACAGACGGTCAAGCGGTAGGTTCAGTGCTTATCTGTTTTTCCAAAGAGCATGTCAGACAGTAGAAAATCACCTCATGCAGCCTGAGAAGGTTTCAGAATGTTACTTTCTCACTTCGTCAGTGCTCGGTTTGTTTTCATTTTGTCTCCATGGTAAGAGTAAACTTTCGAGTATATGACGCCCACCAGTGTGACCAGAGAGGCCCGGAGGTCAGGGCACTGCTGTGTTACTTATTCCTCTCAACCATTTCTTTTCTCTCTCTCCCTCTCTCCCTGTTGGCTCTTTCAGCAGTGCTTGATGGAAAAACAATGATGGTTAAAGTACGAGGAGAAAAAAGGGCGCTGGAAGATAGAGAGGCAAAAGAACTGCTGATGAGAAGAGACTGCAACATAAATACTGGGAGAAGCTGTGAGGTAGATGACTGGTTAATGGTTCTTATTTCCCGAAGTGAGGCCCAACTGAAGAGGCATTCACCCCTGGATATAATGAGCTGTAATCCATAGCGACACCTAGTGGCATTAAGAGCATCTTTTTTTCATATGTCATATGCTCACATCCCATTTAAGGGTGGAGGCTGATGTATTTTTTAATTTTTCATTTAAAAATTCTTTACTAAAGAACTGAATGAATTAGAGTAAAATATCTTATAGCCCTTTGTTTTTTCCCGACAAAAGTAAACTTAAAGGTTAATCTCTTTAATGGGACTTGCTCGTGGAATTAACTAACTCAGCTTGAAATGAAACGAAACTGGATCCATAGATCACTTCTAAAGATCCAGAGGAATCTCTAAGATCCAACACAGCTCAGGTGAATGACTTTTTATTATTTGTGATATTTCCTTCAAATTTGCCTTTGCTGTCTTCTCATAGAATTGGTCAGGGAGTCAGTGGTGTCAATGTCAGGGTGTAGGCACACCATAATTCAACAGGGCACAAGTCTGGTTGCTTTAGAAAGAACTTTGGGTAGTGGATTAGAGTCTGTCCCTAAAACAAACTGTGGATAAGCAGCAATGCTGGGGGACAGGCCACTAGCACATGGGCATCTGCAAGTAATGTGAATTTGGTGCTTTGGTCCAATCAGACAACCAAGCCCTGGCAATGAAGGGGACATTTCCCTCATCTTAAGAGGTCATTTTTTAAAAAAATGGGTGATAATATAAAACAATTTCCTGAATTGTGACAACTTCACTGCCAACTTAAACTTGTGGTCACTCAGTCCAAATCTCTTTCACACTGTTAACAAATTAATATAAATAATCATAGAGTAAAACTGTTTACAGGACAGTCACAACTACTACAAGGCCAATTTTACCTTAAACATTTTTTAAAACAATGTTCAGTCCATTTGCCCCAGAAGTATGACTATCCCAGCTGACACTGGACGAGTTGCAGGGTATAAACTGGACACTGCATCAGGTCATATGCGTACTGGATATTAGCATGTTTGCACTGGCATAGAAGAGGAAAACACTGAAAAAAAGTGGGGATTTTATTTAAAAAAAAAATGTCACTATAAAAAGATTCATTTATACCCCTTGTAAGCTGTTATAAAATCCAGTTCTAGCTATGTGTTATGTGTGCAACTATGCTTGCTTACACATCACTAAGGCTTGTGAAAAAATAAAAATGGTGCTCACAGATTTCCAATTTCCAATAAACATTCAAATTAATGTAACACAAAGTCAAAAGAGAGCCATGACTTGGATTCTCCTCCGGATTGTGGGTGTAAAAGCACACTTCACCCACTGTAAGCAGGTTAGAATGTGGACATTCACTGATAGCAGTAATGTCTACAACCAAAGAACATCTGAATACTCACAAATTTCTCACAAAAAAATGGTTAAGCATTTTTATCACGATTTTGACCAAAGGGACTATAGATGGCGTATTAGGGCCACATTAAGAACAGAAACATTACTGTTAATTTTGAGAATAAAGTCAAAATCTTGAGATGAAACTCAAAAGACAAAAGCTAAAACACAATTTTGACTATGCAAGTTGTAGAGAGTATAGCAGCTGTGGCAGTGTTTGATTTGAAATAACAACTTAAATCTCAAAATTCTGACTTCATTCTCAAAATATTATTTTAACTTTTTCTCTCAAAATAATATTTAATCTCAAAATCTCTTTCTGTAATCATTACAGAAAGCACTTAGAGTCTGTGGTAAATCTTTAACAGAAGAATCAGCATGCATTAACTGAATGGTAGCATTTTATGGCAAAATCTTGGCCCACGTAAAGAAAGTGTTGTTTTGTTTCAGTTAATACAGAGGGAAATGTTCACTTTGACTGGCACATGCATAAAGAGCCATGGCTGAATACTCTTCCAGGCACATT